TATTAAAATGATGGAGATTTCCTTGTATAATCATTGCTGTACAACAGAATCACCTACATAATCTAAGTCACATTAAAATTTCCCAGGCTGATTAAAAAACATATATGTTTAAACTATAAAAGTGGGTTTGTTTGAACACGGTCTGTATATGTCATTAGGTTATTATGTCTGAAGTGTTTTAAACTTAGAGCATTCACTCCTCCAATTTTCACCCATATGACACTGTTGTAGGGACAGGGCAGCCTCTAGAATGTCCTCCATTCTAAATTTGTCTGTTTACCTTCCAGTGTTATTAACTTGTTCCTCTATCCTCAGTTTCTCCTATACAGTGGAGATTAGCTCTAAATTGATTGCATTTAAACTTTTGACAAGAATAGACGCTGTATCATTGATATCACATTAAAATTGGAGGTTCACATGGTTGTCCACATAGCAATATTAAGATTGTTCAGCGCGTAACAGAATTTTCCACACTGTTAACTTTTCTATGTTTTCATAATTAATACTTTCATTCATTAATGATCATTGTATGAATCTATTAATTAGGTTATTTTATTATTCTATTCTATTCACATTTATCAGGAATCCTGGTATGGCACTGTTTGATTAATGCTTGACTACCAACTGCAAAGTCAGCAGTTCAAGCCCACCAGCTACTCCTTGGAAACCCTATAAAGGGTTCATAAAACTTAGAAATGACTGGATGGCACTTAACAACACTACTTTGCAAAAATTTTTTCTCTTCAATTAGCTTTAAGTGGTTATTCTAAATTGTAACTCATTTAAATAGAAGCACGTTAAAAGTTACTTAAGGACATTCATTTCTATTGTTAATCTTCAGAATAACAACTTGGTGACCCCAGTAGTCTAAAGAACTTGGTTACTAGCACATGAAATATTACAAAGTCAACATACGCTCCATAAAATCATAATAATTAGGAAATACAGTAGAGTCGTTGCAAACTGTTTGTAGAAAAATCCATCATATTTTCACTGTATTTTCCCTCTCATATATTTCAATATAGTAGTGTTAAAAGAAAATCCTAAAGATTAATAAATATGTCTTTAATGGATGTGTTCTAAAATCATTTATAGCCAAAGAAGCTTCATTTTTACCCTTAGATACTACATTTATGTACAATGAGCATTAACTGCATCCCCACTCTGATATCATTATAATTCCAATGTTTTCCTTTCTAAAGAAACAAACTTATTGGGCGTTCACCACATGTGAGGCACTGTGCCACACCACAGGAAGTAAGAGAAAGAATATAACAAAATTCCCTCTTTTCAGAATGGTGCAGAGATACGCAAAGTAGACAGCCACATGAAAATAAACATGGCAAATAAACTAAAAGGAGTTGTAGTGGGAACTGAGCACACAGAGAGACAATATTAACTTTGCCTCAGGTGTCAGGGAAAGTGTTCCAGAAAAAACATGGCAGCTTTTAAAGGTAGCTTGCTGTTATTCATTACATCTTACATTCAACGATTTTTTTATATGACTATGTATGCCTCTTTATTACTATCAGACCAACTGTCCAGTATGTGCAATGCTATAGGATAAGGATTGGACCACAAGGTGGGTTTCAGTCACGAGGTCAATGGTTCAAACCCACCAGCTGCTCTTCTGAAACCCCTATACTGGATGCATTGGCACTGACAAGACAGCACTTAACAACAACGTATTTCTCAGAAGAGGGAGACATTTTTCATAAGAGAGATTGGCTGTCAGAGAACTGTACTATTTAGAAAAGGAAAAAGCAGATTCTGGATGACATCAGGACAAGACTTGATTGTTGATGGAAAAGAAGATGCTACGAATTGTAGGTCATGCTTGAAAAACTAGTTGAATGTAAATACAAGGGAGCAAAATGTTAGGTACTGAA